ATTCTCAGAAATTATACACTGAGCCTTATAGCATTAAGCTCATCTTTCCTGTGCGAAATTTACAAAAAAATCAAAGCTTCATTTTATATATCTATCTTTGAGAGATATTTATTGTAAACTTTCTTTGAAAGCAAAAATACTATTTCATCTTCTAAAAGTGTTACAACACTGTGTTCTTGAAATCTTGAGAGTGATTGTGAATCACCTAAGATTTGCAAGGGTTTGGTCTTGTGAAGTTCATGTAAAATCCGTGGAGGATTGCTCCATTTGTAAAGAGGTTGCTAGCACCCCTGTGAAGCTAGAAGATAGTGGAAAATCTCAAGTGAAGCTTGAGGAGTGGATGTAGGCTTGGTTGAAGCCGAACAACTATAAATCTGTTTGTCTCCTCTTCCCTAATCTCTTTACTTTCCTACTACTGCTATAGCTATCTAATATTCCTGTGTTAATCATTTAATTTACCCTGTATGTTAGTTATACTTTATTGTTATTTTGATTGATCATTTACTGCTAAGTTCATCATTGTGCTTACTAATAATTTATTGTACTAGTAGTTAATTTTATCGGGGTATTATTAATTTTAATTTATAGAAACCTAATTCACCACCCCTCTTAGGTTGTTTTTTGGGTAACACTCTGTTTTCTACTTTTTCTCCAAAGACTCCCAAGTTCCTTTGCCGTTTTGATAGGACTATAGACGTTGTATAATGTGTTGCCAAGTCCGTTCAAGATGTAGTTCCGGCAAAGGAAATCAGCATGTTTCTAGGCATCGACCACAGCAACCACTTGCCGGTCAGTTTCATCCTCGTTCAGAGTAAGAGCATTCTTACCGAGAAAACGAGCCAGGTTCAGAGTTGTAAGATAGAATAGCATTTTCTGCTGCCATCTTTTAAAATAAGTTCCAGAGACCTTCTTTAGCTTCTCACCGTGATTTAATGGTACTGTCACAATAAGAGAGGGGGTTGGCGCAATTGCAGCCACCATACCAGTACTCGTTTGAGCATTTGTTTCAGTAGCCATGAATTCTAAATTATAAAACAAAATTAGAATTAGAATTCTATACTACACAGAAAATTAATCCAAATTCAAAGAATTAAATTCTATAAAAATAAAAGAAACAAGATTGTAACTTTTATTTTCAAATAATTTGAAAATAAAATAAATTTATTTAACCAAATTAATTAAATTTCTATAACACTTTAATAATTAAAATACTGAAACAGAATTTTAATTTAAAATACTGAAAACAGAATTTTAATTAATGAACACTCAGAACTTATTTTTGAAAACCAAAATTAATCTTTGACTAACTTTACAAATAAATATTTTAAATTGTTAATGACACCAATATATTACAACTAGTTGTTAAAGAAAATAAGCAGTATATTACTACTATTTATTTTTTCCAACTAGAATATTATTTTGTAAAACCACAGAAAATAATTGTTGTAAGAAGAAGAAAAGAAGAAAGGAAACAAACGAAAAATTCTATATAAACAGAATAATTCGGATCTGTCTTGAGATTGTTGGAACAATCTTCTGTGTACAATAAATAAATTGAAACAAAATCAAACAAATAAAATAAATAACATACCGAATTTATTTTATTGAACCGAATGAATATTTAAAAGATCAAGTCGAGTGTGTGACACTCTGTCCTTAAGATAGATTTGATCCGCTATGGTGCTTACGGACTAATGGCGTCTATCTCCCATGATACACTGATCTTCACAAATTTGTAGTAGCACTCCAAACAAATTTGTCTGACGAACTAGAATCTGTATTCTATACTCTCTAAATTTTTTCCTAAAAAAATATATATATGAAGAATATATGCAACAAAGCAAAGATTGGACAACAAGAAAATGAATTTTCAGACTATTTTCGGATTGAATGACTACTGGAAAATGGCGTGCTATTTATAGACCTGAACAGGTCTGAAAATCAAACTGAATAGGTGGATTTTTTTTAATGAACAAGTACAACAGATAACTGCTGGGCGGTTTTTATCTGTTGGGGAACTGCAACAGATTTGAATCTGTCTAGGCAAAAACTGAATCTGTCTGGGTTTCAACAGATTGGCAACCTGTTTGGACTGTTTAAACCTGTTGTGGAATTTGGACTAAAAGAGGCACAATTTTTTGACACAAAATTTGAATTCAATTTGAATTCAAATAATTTCCTATAAGAATTTGGAAAAATTCAAATAAAGTTTGTCCAAAAAATTAATGTTAGAACAGACCCGATCCGACCCACACCCGCACCCGCGCGTGTGGTGGTTTGAACCAAGGTTCCATTTGTCCATAACTCCTCCCTTTTACAACCTTGGGGTGCCCTTTGGGGCCCAACCCAAGTTAGTACACCAAGAGCTTATATACACATATAAGTTCTCGTCAAGTTTTAAGGTGGGACAAGTCTTACAAGGAAACCCACATTTAATTCCTTAAATGTCTATTCCAC